TAATCACAATCTTACACTTACTTGTCGATGTTTCTAATACAAATGCTAACATAATGTAACTGTTGAACAGGATAAATAATATTAGATTTGTAACAAGCAAAGATTAGCTGAAAATTTCATTTTATTTCTTTTTTAAATTGACTTGTTTTCTAAAATGACGTTTCAGTATTGAATATAGCTCTAATGACTAGGCTTAATTTGTTTCTGTGTCTTTTTTTTTTATAAAATCATTGCGTTAAACTGTATGCAAGCACAAGTAAGCATATTGCGTATTTGAAGCTGCTAATATTTTCCTGTTTGTTGAAGTTTTTTGTGTTGTTTTCTTTCCTTTTTTATTTCTTTTTTATTATTGTTGTTGTTGTTGTTGATGGTGTGGTGGTGTTGTTGTTTTCTGTATGATTCACGTGAATCATTAATCCTTGCTTTATCATAACTTTTATAAAAAAATGTATATGCATCCTATTACATAAATAACTATAGGGTTTGGGTTGTTTTTTATTTGTGAATGTATGTAAAATATCTATGAACGTCAATTTGGGAGGTAGTTGGTTGTTGGATATTCGAATAACCAACTATATACTAGCTGGTAGTTAGTTAATCGTTCTTTCTAACTACATGTATTTCACAGCTGGTAGTTGGTAATGTAGCACTCCACACTAAAGTTTCCGCCGTCAATGTCCTACAAGCAATATGTCTGATAAATCTGATCCCAAACTACACAACCTGGAAAAAGAAAACACATTTTGTTAATAACATATATGTCATAACATTGCAAATCTGTAATGAAATCATCCCATGTGCAACAGCCAGGCAGTTAAAAAAATTCCAATTCATTCCGTAAAAGCCAAAAATCTATAGTGGTCCGAGACCCAAAACAACATTTTTCGTCCCTCCGGCAAAAAATACCTGCAAATATACGGTCTACAGAAACTCTGTCACTGCTTTAGCAACTCCCTATACATGCAAAATATCACAAAGAAATAGGTGCTTGGTCTTGTAGATATTTTTTACTATTGCTGAAAGTTTGTACCCCCCTGTAAAATTACTTGTTCTCATCGAGCATGCTGTTTAAAAGCAATGTTTAGAAACAATGGCGGCTTTGACATCAACAATTATCAGCATGTGATTTCTAACCATGTTTTCGAATTTGCCAATGATCATATTACATGTCACAAAAACAAATTTCATGCTGAAAATGCATTTTAAAGACAACCAGTCATTTAAATCCACAATAGTCACTATATCCATGAAACCCTGGCCATTCGAAGCTGTGGCTTCATTTAGTGTGGTGTGCTGCCTAAATCGGCATGAAAAGTTCCAACACGTTATACATTTATAAACACAGAATAAAGGTGATTCGCGCGAATCTCCAACTAACTACCGAATTCGGATATTACATGTATTCGTCTGAAAACAATAAGTATATTTATGTAACAAATGTTACGGTTATATAACGATGTATGTCTTTTTTATAATAAGGTTACATCCCCTTCACAATAAATATACCAGGGGATTCAGTTGGTTATTCGTATGAATCCCCAACTGCCTACAAATCACTTGCAATCAATTATTGAGTTATGATGAATGTTCTTAAATTTAGGACGAATGGCGTGATCTGCTTGTAAACAGACATTCAGCCAAGAATTATAAAACAAATTGACAAGATCTTATATTCTTTAGGAACGATCAAAACCATTTGTTTTTTATAATATCAAATCAACGAACAACCTGGCACACATTTCAGAAACACAGAGACCTTTAAAACATGCGCAAACAAATGTGTTACATCTCAAACTGTGACTGTGCTTTAGTTGTATAATTGACAATGATTATAAATTAATTTTAAACTCTACATTATTACAATTTATCATGTATTCTTGATCCAAATACAAAAAAATAACAAAAGTTTACCATCTTGCTTGATAAACGTTAAACTTTTGTATCAGTTATATAAAACAGCAACAGCAAATATGTTTTCATCAGTTACAGAACAGTTTAATAGCCATTCCTTTAATAAAAAAATATATAAAACCAAAGAAAAGCATACAATGTATTTGAAAAAAATGGTTAATTGAAGATTTGATAAAAATAGAGAGAGGGTGTTTTCATAAAATATTTGTAATCTATCAATTAGGCTTCCTTAGTTTTTCACATCATAAACATCTATAGATGCAATTCCGAACATTTGTGAAGAGGTTTACTATCCAAATTAGGAAATATAATTATTTCAAGTTGTAAAACTATCATAGTTTAACACAAAATAGTACATACAAATTTGCGAATACATGTATAAATTACTTCAAGTATTTTCAAAAAAAGAAAAGAAAAGAAAACCTTAATCTGACAGACAAAAGAATAAAAAAATGAACAATATTCCCAGTAAGGCTTAAACCCACACTCAATGTAATCGAAAATGAATACTCTCCAGAAAGGATGTTCTGCAATAGGTATCTAAAATTTCCATGCATAAACCCTGATACTCAATGCATGCTAAAGCCCGCCTTTAAAGTTTTGTGTAAACCAATTACAAACAATTAATAATTGACGTTTTAACCAAATTTACATGCTTTGTTGGTTGCAATAATTGGTTATTTACTCTGTATATGATGGGGATTTTAACATTTGTAATTTCAAAACAGGATGTCAACAGAAATATGTCTAATTTATTTTAGAAAATTGGCTGATATCATCAAATGAAATGAAAACGATTTTGTGTACGTACTTACGTTACTTTTTTAACAATGTAGAGACCACTCCCGAAACTTACTGAAATATGCAAGGTTGTTTCAAATTAAAGCAGCACGCCTCCAGATTCATGCTAATTTTCATGAAAATTTTAAAAATGCATCTGAATGTGTAATATTGTGAAATAATAAAAAAAAAGCAATTTACACATTATCAATGGCACTTATAACCCAAGTAAATTACCAAAAAGTGGTCAAAATGTGCATAAATAGCCCTTATACTTCGTTAGTAACGCAGTAGAAATAAAATCGGAAATAATGAAATAATCAGTCATTTATCGCACATAACATGTAAAATATTACTCGAATCTTGAATCATTTTACTTTTCCTAAAATCTTAGTACATATTTCTCAAATTTGATTTTATTAAAATAATTTGACCAATCTGGAGGCATGCAGCTTTAAAGTCTATTGCTTCGTTCAAATTCATACCCATAAATGCTTTTCATATATTTCATTTGTTTATATACTTTAGTTTAATAATATTTCACTGCATATATATAAATGCAACATTATCGTGGGCCCTTCCCTGTTTATTCTCGTAGATATAACTTTAAATGGTACGTTTAACAAAAATATACTAGGTATTTGATGACTTCGTGAACCTTCTTGAAAATAAAACCATCTATATATTTGCATGCCCAATTGTCGGAAGTAGTGTTTAAGTGTATAAAGTTATAATATTTGAGAAGAAATATATTTGTATTCTTCCTAAAGAACAAATCGAGAATGTATGACGGTTAAAACCTACTTTTTAAATAGCAGCATAATATTGTGTTATGTAACATTTTTATTATGTGTACCTACAATGCATATATTCATGTGTGTTGATAAACAGAATCATTCTTTGTTATAAATCTTTCTATAATAAACCATAAAATCACGAAAACAACATCAATGTTATTACAATAGTTTATTATAAATAGCTTAATTATATCCTCTTAAGTCACGTGAAGTGCACACGCAGCAAAATACAAGAAAGTATGGCGAGCGATCGTTGACCATTTGTCATCAGTGTTAAAATACTTTCTGTAAATTCCTTTCTTATTTCCGTCTTAAAAAATGTATATAAATCATTAATTCTAAAATCAATTTTCGATCTGCCTTATATAATCAAAAGAAAAACAAAATAAGATAAATACTGAATGTTTCATCATCCTTTAAAACTAAACGTGTATGGTTTATATTTTATCTACAAAAGCCAAGCTGTCGCCTGATACTTTTATAGCGCTTTTAAGTGGTTTAAGATTCTATCGATAATGACTTCCAAACTTTGCTTGTTAGTGAGTCAATGTGTCTTTCTTGAGACGAAGGAGCATAATATTATTTTGATACCATATGACACTTGAATGTTTCATAACATATCCACGTACAAAAACAATGTATAAACGTAAATGGGGAAGAATACAAAATAGACGTTAATATATAGCTAATCATCCGACAAATAAATTGCACATTTCCAAGACATTATTTAAAAAAACCATTTATATTGGCAGAATATATATATCTTTTATAAAGATTCACAACAACTTTTGGTTCTTCATTGCTAGTTACAAATTTATGTTCAATAGTAGTTTATTACATCATCCGAGTTTTATGCAAAAACGCCTTTAAATCGCTTAAACAGCAATGAAAACATTAAAAGATGAATGGAAATTGTGCAGCAATTTTTCATGCCCCATTTAGCACCGGCTTACGAAGTATTCATAGTCTTCACGGGAACTATGGCCTAGAACGATTAACAAAAATATATCAACATTGAGATGGAGTCAGGAGTAATGTAATGAATGACCCTAGGCTATTTGCAAGTAGGTACTCGTAGCTTACTTCCTCTTCCTTCTTCTACATAAATCATTTCAGCTGAATCGCAAAATAATTAATAGTTTTCACAAAATTTCTTTATGAAAACAGTGAAACGATTTCTGAAAAAGGCAAACAATTGACTATTCCGAACAAGTATCACCTGACGTCATGCATAATTGTGTTTTATGATTAACAATAAATAATAATATAAATAATAAATACAAGGAAGTGTATGTATTTTAAAGGAATCGAGACCATTAATATATAAAAACACTTGTAAATGACGCATATCCTTGACGACGGAACAACAATACAAAGCACATGCTTGCTATTATTTTCTGATTTTTATTACATTTCTATTAAACGACATACCACATGGTCTATAGAATTTGTTTGTTTGTTTGTTTTATTGTTTGCTTGTTTGTTGGATTTTAAGGCACTTTAATTGACACTGTAAAGGTCATATGGGGATTTTACCAGTGGATGAAGACCCTCAGGTGTCCCTTAATTTGTGCATTATTTTCAGACACGAGCGTCTATAGTAACATACATGTCCACAAAACAACGAATTTCATCTTCTGGAAGCCAGTACTTATCAAATGTGCACAACATAGACAGGAAACGGCAGTTTATGTTTCTGTCTTCAAAGCGTGAAAACAAAACTTAATGTATTTTCATTGGAGATGAAAATCAACTGTGACAATTAACAATTACGATCGTGCACAATTACTATAATTGCAAAGGCATGAAATGGTTTTCCGTGGGTGCAGTTATGGTAAGGAAATTTCACCAACAAAATCGACATCCTGTACGCAGTGTCATGTAATTGTATATCTAAATCATCTGAATACAGTCACATGTATATATAAAAATAACTGCTAAATTTGGGATAGGAATTTTAGTTTAAAAAGGTACGGTCCAAAGGGAATTCGTCACACAAGCTATTGCATTCGGGCGAAATAGAAATAGTCGTTAGAACTATAGAAATAGCCTTTAGAACTACAAAGTTCAATTACAAAGTAAATAAATTACATTTGTGCGATTTAAAAAAATATTTATGAGCTATAATTCTTGGTAAGTTTTGGTAAATTTAGTTTTATTTTAAATTAATATTACTGTATGTAACGATTAGTTTATGACAATCTAAACTATCATCTTTAAGTTATACATAGATCTTTACTACGATTCTGTCATATCTATTTTTGTATGATTTACAATAAGCTATATTTACCCTATCAGAAATAACATAAAAAATAACCGTTTGCTTTCCGAGATATATAAGAAAAAATACCTATTTGGATATATACTGTTAAAGTTAAAATCGTTATCATTAAAACAAATGTAAATCATGTAAGAGCTGAAAATTAATACATATTTAACAGTCGACGAGCACGAAACTGAAACTATGCTGGTTTAAAAATAAAATGATACTCATACATCTGATATCTTACTGAACATTCAACAGTTTGTTTATATAACATATTAATTTTTGGCTATTTATTTTGCATAGAAAAAAATGAAGATCAACACAGCCGTAGGAATTTTATGGATGGTTTCAATGTTAGTCATAAACAGATCCGATGGGGTGTGCTTAGGATGGACTGGAAGGTGTTACTCCGGACATAGGTCATGCCAAGGAATAACATCGGGGTTTAATTCATTTGCCCAGAGCTGTTCAAATCAATGTTGGACTTTGGGATATGTGAACGGAAGGTGCAAACAAGTAGATGAACCTAGAGCGTATAACTGTACGTCGAGATCGAGACACACTTGGATATGTATGTGTACCCATAGTCGACCGGGATGGACGCATAGTTTCTGTCCACAAACTTAGTTATCAGTTAATTTATTGAAAGTTGTCAAAGGACATGAGCACATGAGGAAATACAAGTGTAAGAAACTAATTTTAAAACTGAAATCTCAAAACAAACTGGTACAAGACCTTAAATGACTTGCACATGTAAGAAAGAGTACTGACATCTAAATTTAAAAGTATTGCTTGATAATAAATTAGAAATTAAGGGAATTATAGTGCATTGTCGTATAAAAGAATTCGATTCTATACCGTTGTTAACATAAGCCTTTTAAAGTTGATCTTTGAAAAAGTTTTAGGACAGTTTGAAACCAGAGATAAATATTTAACATTCAAATGTGAGAAGTAAGTTAAATGAATGATCAAACAAAATTATTGATAAAAGCATCTTGAAGTTATGATTTTGGTCAGCAAAAACGAATCGTGTACATGTATATTATTTAAGAATGTAACGAATATTTTGCACTACATGTTTGTAACAATTCCGAGTACTGCCAAATTGCATCTGTACTATAGCCATTTATTTATATTTTCATACTTTTTATCTTTTAATATTGTTATTTATGTTTTATTTATTTCTTTTGAATAAATATGTTTATGTTTTTTCACAGTCAAGTGTTGTATGATAAATCGAGTTTTTTAAATGGTGATATTATTTTAATGAAGTATAACTAAGTTTATTTGTACACCGACAAACATTTCAACTTTACAGGGCATGACACTCCATAAAGCGATTTGCATATATATATATTTACATCACATATTCTATTTTTAACTATCTTTTGTATAAATCAAACCACTTAGCTGTAAACATTCATTGGACGGTTATAAATATCTAAATTGAATGAATAAAGCCTACAATGATAAAACTTCCGCATTACTTAATCAGTACGGTAATTATTTACTTTGAGTGTAAAGCTTTGACGATCGATTGCTAGATTTATTTTACTCCGTAATTGACAAAGTTGTCAATCGAACAAAAGAAAGTATGAATAAGCCGGACTGTAATGTGAGTTTTACCCATTGTAAACAAAAGCGAAGATCACGAAAATTACATGTGAAATCGGAAACAATTTTTCCAAGTTTTCCTTTTTGCAAACGTCCCCCCACAATTGCATACCGTTCATGAGTAAAAGGGATAAAATGAAGATTTCCAAGTTTTCGATAGAAGCTAATGGCCGGGCGGAAGACTTTAGCAACACTGGATAGCTCTTTAGGGTAATGTTCCAACACGACAACATAATTTCAAAGGAGGTTAGTCAAATCCTGGCTTACTGAAAATCTGTCGTCAGCGTAATATGAAAACGATCATCGCAACATTACAATTTTCAGCGTTAAAACTACATGCGACTACAAATAATTCTGATAAAAAGGCGCCAAACCATAAAAACGACATAAAACTAGCATTTGAGATCCACACTCATGTTGTATACTAGCTTAGGGGTATTGATATTATACAAAGGAAAATCTAAATAGAAATGTTTGCAAATCTGGCATATTTTTTTTACAAACTAAGCTGCGTCTTTTCTTTGATTGAAAGTGGAATGAGACTATTTGTTGCTACTGATGTATATATCACATAAATAATTGGATTAAATATTAACAATACAAATACATAACATTTTCTCAAATGGACATAGGTTGACGCGCTCTTCATTATATTTTAATATATACAAATGTATCCCCATAAGCGCCCTGCTTGCTTCCATAGCAAGGAAAATGGCGGCCAACATTCGATAAAGCATTTATATTTTCTATTCAAATCATTTATCATTTTGCGATAATTACGTTTTAAATGATTATTATTTACAAAAGATATTGGTTTTAATGAGTTTATTCAAATGAAACTTAAACAAGCTCTCAATTAATTTAGATATTTCAAACTGACAGGTAAGGCAAACTTTTCAAGATAAGCATGGTCCTTGATAAGGTTAATCATGCACACATATAATATAGGCTGTCATTTTTAAGGAGTGGTGTCCTGGACAGATTGGGTTTAAGGTCGTACACTTCAAACCACTCGTCTAAAACATCTGTAGGGTAGAAACCGGTCATTGACTTTGGATTCTTTACCGTTTGCGCCTGTAATAACGCACGGAGACACACCTGGGATCTATCTCCACCAGTAAAACTAGAACGTCGAATGTGACTTTTTCTGTGTTGATGCGACGTAAAAAAAATCCTAACCAAAAGGAAAATTTAGTTACGTATCTAAACATATGGATTTCATTTTCACAGAAATACAAATATTAATGCATCTAGAAATGACTCATAATGAAGACTTTTTAAGAGACCAATATAATTGGCAGAAGAAAACAATAAAATAAGGGTTGGTGGCTGGCAACTTAAATATTATAAAATTATACGATTTGTTCAAAAAACTCTACAAATGTAACAGAATATATAATATTTTTAGAAAAAATTCATTCGAGATTGTAGGACAATGCGAAGAAAAAAAATGACAAGAAGACAAAAAGTAAGGTTAACCCACAAAAAGTACATATCTAAAATTCGTACTGTACATTCTATAATGATCATCCTTTTTCATGAAAGATAGCAATCGGATATCTGAGGATATTACATCAGCTTACTTGAAGTACTTCTACTTAAAACCGCAAATGCTTTCAGATAATATCTTGTTTACATCATCCAGCAATAACTTTTTTAATTTTAACGCTTTTGTAAATTGCAAGGACGCGGTGAAAGAAATTTTTATAGAGCTGTACTTTCCTTGAATAATCTTTCCGGATGTCTGCATTTCAAAAAAAAGAAGGTGATTTTTTCATGCTATTCTTGTTGTTGAGAAGATCAGAAAAAAAACAAAGAAGATGAAAATGTCTCAAACGATGCAAAGTGTTGAAATAAACAATTTACATGATTACAAGTTATTCATTACGATTACAATGGTAATTTGATTTTCAAATACAGTATGTGATACAGTTTAATGACTTTTATACTATTTATTTTTATTTCTTACCAATAAATAAAAAAACTCTATTTATTAAGTCTCAATTTCTGTTAACAGTCGAAAAAGTAAAGTGGCAATTCATGCGCGTCATATTTAGCGCCAGGTTTAACTACAGAAAATCATCGTAATATACATACTGTGTGTGGCTTAACATTGAAAAATTTGACTCTCTATCCTATAATTAAATTGACATTTTTGAGGTGTAGAGGAGGGGAGAAATTAAGGGGAAACGGTGGCCAAAGGGAAGCAGTGGCATACACAGTAGCGGATCGATAGCCAAGGGTGGAAGAGATGTCCAATGGGAGTTGTGAGCTCGTTGTTATGATGCATGACTCTAAACCAATCATATGACGTAAGTATATTAGTTAGTTCCATGAAGCGGACTGGGAGCATTTTAAAAGAACTTTTACATGCCTGGTAAACAACAAAGCTATCTCTTTCCGAGATGTACGGTAAAATGCTCTATCGCTACTTTCAAGCCTGTGCATATCGCCAAATTTAAGCGTAAACAAAGGTATCATGTTGTCTTATTATATCTTTATCAAATATCGAAAATAGAAGAATGTTATACCTTATAGACATGATTAATGTTTCCGGGAAACGTAAAGTTGATGAATACTTCTGTGTTTACGAATTTAGCGTTGGCATTCATTATGAAAAATAATGTCATTGCCCGATTCAAAACTAATATGTTTCAAATAGATGCATCGCCTAGAGCGAAATAAACAATTTAATCAGAACCAAAACATAGTATTTAAAAGGAAATTTATTATTCATGCATTTAATCTGCGCGACAGTTCTGTCATGAAGGAGGTAGTGATGTCGCCAAAGAGATATAGCTCTAAAAGTTATGGGTTATATGCTTATTTACAGAAGTATCGATACAAACTCGCAGGCATACGGATTGTTTAAAACAATGTACCAAAAGCGTGTTCTTTCTTGGTAAATGATTTCACATCTGAAATATAAAATTCCATACGGTAAACTAAAGTGAAAGACTTTGCATTTTGTATTTCTTGTAACAGATTCTGAAGTTGTGACATGTTAACTTACATAGAAAATAAAACCATTTCGTTTATAATGTAAGTAAAATATGAGGCATTATAAATTGTTAATCTAAAACAATTATAAACAAACATGGTCTGAATTCTGATATACACTTAAACGTACGGTTCCTTTCATGTCTTTCCTAACTTGTTTTACCAATATCCTATAGATATTTTGCACCCTTTACATATCTTTGAAGACTCCCGTCTTTATACTATAATTATAATAACTCTTCCTCTTGGACATACAGATTGAATGTTGAAATCATATGTATGCCCATGCTTATTAATTACTTCCACGTGTATATAAAATGTCTGTGATCTCAGATCACGTTATTTAAATACATAGTATTTATTCTATAACACGTTTATTTCCAATCAAATATTGACTTCATTTAGTAATAACAGATAATAACCACATAATTGTGGAAAATAAATGAAAACCTTAAACAGACAGAATTACAAATAACAGCAAGAAAGGCCTATGCATATCAAATAAATATATAAAATTAACTATTGAGCTAACTCCATGGTGACATGACTACATCCTTCACGACAGAGTAGCCTTGAAGAACAAATATCATTATTTCGTTTAAAAACTTAGTTTTGGTTCTGATTTAGAGTTTAACTGCATTCTTGACGATCCATCGAGACTTTAAAACATATGCGTTTTTAATCTGGCAATAACAATTCTTTCATGATGAAACAGTTCACTTCAACCTGGAAAACGCCGCCACAGCTATAGTTCAAACATAAATTCATCAATTTAACGTTCCCTAGAAACTTTAATAAAATCTACATGGTATAGCATTCTTCGATTTTCGAAGAGCAATCCACCGTATATCTCCGAAAGAGGTAGCTCTGTTAATTGTTTAACAGGGGTGTTTAAACTTGCTAAAAATATGTTTAAATTGAGATGATTGCTGCAATTGAAAACAAAAGTTACAAAAAAATCTGTGTATTTAAAGTCTGTGTTGATGTTAAGCTAATTATCTTTCATTTCAGCTAGTTACTATCGCCGTTGAGAACAATGTAATGAAATGAAAGTGACACATAACTTCAAGTGCCGATAGGGATGAGGATACGGTCGAGTATCGACAACCATCGATAAGATTTTAATTAAAAGAAGTCCGCTTTTTATCAAAAAACATTTTCATGATATGTACATAAACATTGTTAGATGAAAAGCAAGATAAAGCTTTGCTAAAAAGCGATTTAATTATAAAATACTGGTACATGTAGTATGATAACGTTCTTGTGTTTTGAACCACGCGAGAACATACCATGACATCGTTTCAAATGATAACATGAAAATGGTTGAAAACCAGTTGTGTATACAAAATACAAAAATGTATACTTAAATAAAATAATTAATTCAACGACACAGTTTCGGTTCGAACCCACAGAAACAAACGGCTTTATATAAATTGTTTTCAAGTAGAGCTGTGTAACAAGTACCGGTATTCTTTGCCAAAAGTACCAGACCCAGGCCAATTTGGACAGCCTGAAGTTCGACAACATGCACTATATCTAGTATTTTTATTTTCTATATGATACTCCTCAAACTCATAATCTGCAAATCCGAATAAAGACAAG